TAATTTATGGAAATGTGAACCTGCAGCGTGCAGATTTAGTTGGCGCTATAACACAGTTTGATTAATTAAGTGCCCACATTTTATTTTGAGTCTTATTAATTCAGAACTAATCGTTATTGATGATTTGTTTATGACTTAAATACTCCAACAAGGTTTTCAAGGTCTGACTGAGGTGAATTGAGGTAAACGAAGCAGACTGTACTGTTTTGATGATTACTGGCAGACTCTAATATACTGGCAATATTAGAAATATTATTATTATTGTGAATCGTGAATGGCTCATGAAGAACTTTTAACACCTAGCACTATATTAAAACCACTTTACACACACAAGTGTCAATGTTGCCATATTTTTACATACTGAGTAATACTAATAAATTACAAGTTGTAATCTGTTACTATGAAAGATTAAGAATCATCTTATATGGGTTGAGATGAGTTACGTTACAACTGAGAGAAAGGTGATGTCTATATCACTGAAAAAAGTTCTTACCGTGCTGACGTCAGCGGAATTTGTAGCCAACCAATGAGTACTGAGCATTGATGCACACCATTTTTTTTTCAGAGACTCTGACTTCAGGAGGAGAATACTAAAAAGTTACCTAGGGCATTCTAGCTGAATGAGAATCCGACCAGTGAGTAGAAACCGTGTGCTCCTCGCTGCTGAGTAATTAGGTCCCCTGACAGTTCATTTAGGGTCCAGACTATACAGAACCCAGGAGACAGATGCCCTGAGGACTCTTCACAATATGATCGAATTTTTTGGTCATTGACAGTATGGATGACTTTTACTATTTGATATTAGTTAAATGAATGGCGGGCTATATTTGTCATCACGTAAATCTTCACACTGAATGTATGTCACGTAAATGTATGTCAATAGATGAGCATTAGCCTATAATTAGTGCAAATTCGTGCGTTTAACCTTTCAAGAACAATGAACAGTTGCATAACCGAAAAAAGCCTGCATAGTGTGTTGCAATGCAGGGAGGGATGCAATATCATGGATTTAATTTATAGAGAATGCCATAGGAGTCCAAACATTTGCAGGTTTTTATTCATGTTTTGTCTCCATCTTGTGGCGGAGGCGTGCAACAAAAAGTATAATATATCTAGGTTATGTGATCTCTTTGATCAGAAAAGCAAATATTTTAGCTGATACAGATAATATTACACAGCCCGTCTTAGAGGAATATCGTAAAATCATGAGTGAACTGTAATTTCGACAGGGAATCCCTGTTTAATGTGTTTGTCCCCGTGTTACCGAATTACTCCGTAACTTGAGAGGTTTTCCGTGGTGATTCATTCAGGTGGGCGCGGGGAGGGATTGGGGAAAGCAGGCGAGACAGAAAGAAAGAGAAGGGGGTATTCCAGCAGCACTGATGCAGTGGAGGCTGTCTAAACCATGTTTCATTAATATGGAGGGAGTGGAGTGAATGAGGTAAGGCACCGATTGCGTCAGCAGAATTTTCCTTTCTTTCGTGAAAATAGGCGAAGCAGATTCTGTCTGGAATTATTTTAATGACAAGAATGAAGTGCTAGGTAAACAGTGAAATAATTCTGTGCTTTATTAGTAAGATGAAACGAAGCTCACTGATAGTTTTACAGATTAACTGTAGTCAACTAGGCTACATTAAAATGGGACTGTTAGCTGTTTTTGTACTTGTTGCATGCTATTCCCACCCTTAACCCATCTCTTTTAGAGAACTACAGACCGGTTTCCCTTCTTCCTTTCATTGCAAAACACTTGAACGAGCTGTGTTCAAGTCTCAAGTCTCTGCCTTTCTCACACAGAACCACCTCCTCGACAGCAACCAGTCTGGTTTCAGAAGTGGACATTCATCCGAGACTGCCTTGCTCTCAGATGTGAAGCCCTAAGACTGGCAAGAGCGGATTCCAAATCTTCAATACTTATCTTGCTGGATCTGTCCACTGCTTTTGACACAGTTAACCGCCAGATCCTCCTGTCAACCCTATTGGCAAAGGGCCTCTCAGGAACTGCACTCCAGTGGTTTGAGTCTTACCTCTCAGATAGGTCCTTCAAGGTATCTTGGAGAGGTGAGGTATAAAAGTCGCAACATCTAACTACTGGGGTGCCTCAGGGCTCAGTTCTTAGACCACTTCTCTTCTCTTGCACTCTATTCATTTACTGCTTGTTTTCTTAAAAAAGAAAAAAAAGAAAACTAACACTAGCTTTTCTAATCTTTTTGTATTCTATCTGTTTTCCTTTTATTTATTATACAATTAACAAAAGCAAAAAAGGCCTCCAACACTAGCTTGCTCTATTCTTTTTGTATTCTATCTGTTTTCTTTTTATTTAATATATAATAAAAAAAAAACTTGCTACGTGTACTGCATTACGCTAACTGAGACTTGTTATAGCACTTGCATATCGTTGTTTTTTTGTTGATTTTGATTGCTTCTATTGTCCTCATTTGCATTTATGCATTTAGCAGATGGGATTACAGTGCATTCAGGCTATACTTTTTAGTTTTTTATCAGTATGTGTGTTCCCTGGGAATTGAACCCACGACCTTTTGCACTGCTAACTCAATGCTCTACCACCGAGCCACAGGAACACACAGAAATAACTTCACCTTTAAAAAACAACTTTCCATTTCGACTGACATTATGTGGACTAGCTAGTTAAAGTAACCTTTATGTGGACTAGCTAGCTAGTATCAATCAAATGTTTAAAGGACTGCCCACTTTTAGATGGGACCGGTGAGTAGTTGCGTTTTCAATCGTTTTGCTCCCAAAATCCTTTTGCCTTTCCCGAAAGCAGGCCCAGTCATGTTATAGGCAAAATATTGGAAAGCGCATGATTGTCTTTAAAGCGAACATTAGGCACCACAAAATGTGGTTAAAACTGTTCTTAGTCAAAATGAATTTGACATTACATACGATTCCAACGAAAATCTTTTCGGATTATATTAAATCATCTTATCAACCCCATCCCTCCAACCTTAGTCCAACAAAGTCCATTTCTGCGTATAAATAGTACGCCAAATAGAAACAGAAAATCATGTCATTGAAACACACATTCATTAGATCGGGCTAGGACTTAAGGATGGCTTGCCGGGTTCACACTGCACGATTTTATCCCCGATTTTTCACTCGCCGACAAATCCCGAAATCGGAGGCAAACCGGTGGTCGTTCACATGAGTGAGTCATGGCGCTAGTAACTCCATGGTCAGGGGTTCGATTCATAAGGAATGCATGAAAAACTGTTAATTAGGTTGGCTTGAGAAAGCCAACCTACTGATCTGCCATTTAAACTTATTATTATTATTCTTATGAGACAAAAATTTCTGAATGCTATCTATCTATCTAAATCATGCTAGCAATATGCTAATCATGCTTATAACATCCTAGTAACATGCTAATAATGCTAGAATCATGCTAGTAACTTGCTAATTAAGCATAAAAACATGCTAGCGACATGCGAGTAACTTGTTAATCATGCTAGAAACATGCTAGTAATTTGCTAAACATGCTAGTTACTTGTTAATCATGCTAGCAACATGCTAATAATGCTAGAAACATGCTAACGACATGCTAGTAACTGGCTAATCATGCTAGCAACATGCTAGTTACTTGTTAATCATGCTA